GACACTGTCTCACACAGGCCTGTTTTCACAGATCTGTGATGGGAAGGCCCAAAGGGCAGTGGTGGAAGCTAGAAAGTCTGTGCCAGCGGGATGATTTGTGCTAGCAGGCTGAGGGATCTGCACTGGAGCCAGGAAGCAATGTTCAACCAGAGCTCCCCTGGAAAGTACCACAGCCATCCTCAGCGACAAGGTCCCGAGCTCCTTTGACGATGAGAACAGCCGAGTTCATCAGCAAAACCAACATGACAAACTCCTCCAGGAGAACAGCCCAAGAGAACCAGCAGCTCCCAGAAGCTTTTCTTCTCCAGTTCTGCCTCTTCTGCAGCCGGCAACAACCGTCAGGTGGGCCTTCCACACCTAGCACCACGCTGATTCAGTTCAGCTGGGTTTTACAAGTTGCCCACCAGCTGTCAATCCATCACAGAGGTGAACACCTGTAATCCCAGCACTCGGGAGGCTGAGGCAGGAGGATTGCCGTAAATTCGAGGCCAGCCTGGGCTACAAAATGAGTTCAAGACCCGCCTGAACTGTATAGTGAAACCTTGTCTCAAAAAGACAAAAACAGTCTGTTTTCGCATCATCTAATTTGCTTCTCTATCTTACACAGCAGTTTTAAAATGCCGTTGTTTGTGACCACGTCGGTTTTCGTCTACTAAACACCACACTTGTAGGCAGGGCTACTATTTCACACATTTCTATAAATTTATCTAGTGTGGGCCTCGGTTCCCTTCTTTGTAAAGTGGGATTAAGAGTAACACCTAATTCAACAGTGTGATGAGAAAATTTGGTGGGAACGCATAGGCAGACAGCTTCGGCCAGTAAACACTTCCTACACATTAGCATGGCACAACTGCGTTGCTGTTATTTTCGGCCAAAGACCTCCGGCAAACCCCTCTTTTCCCCCATTTCCCGGACAGGCTTCAAGGCAAAGCGCTGTCACGCAGACAAGAGAGACCCGAACTCTGCGCCAACCCTGCCGCGCCGAGGCGGCACCCCGGTCCAGCAACGCCCAGAGGTCGGGCCGAGGGTGGCGGATGGCGCAGGGGCTGGAAGCCCACCAACAGACGTCTGAAAGTCGGGGAGTAGGGAGCCCCGAGCGCAACCGTCCCTCTTTCGTCCCCATAGCTCACCTCACCTCGCCCCAGCTCAGCTCTGACGAGGAAACACCTGCTCTGAACTCATTAAGTACCATTTGCCCAGGCGGTCTAGTAGAATGCACCAATCAGAACGTCAGGAATGAAGAAGTCCGGCCTCCTGATTGGGTCTAGAGCTCACAGCCACGCCGGAAGTCAGGGGGCGGGCCAGCAGGCAAATGGCCCAGAGGCTCCGGGTCCCACATGGCCCCGTTGAAACAACTCTTGTGGGACTTTACTACAAAACGCAAGCACTTCTACTTAGGAAAGGCATGCCACCAGCGGTGGAATGTCCATTTAGCATCCTGGACCTCCCCTAAGGCGAAGAAAACTTTTTTATTATGAGTTTTTAAATTACCTTCGCTATGTTTGTATGTTGTGTCTTGAATGTCTGTAGGAAGTCATGTTATCAGGGAGTCTCCAACCTGCAACATAGACTGGGCTCCAGCTTCTCTCCGCTTGGTGTAGGCGTCTCCTTATGTAATTCAGGCCGGCCTTGAACTCACTATGTATCCTAGGCTGGGCTCCAACTTGCAGCGATCCTCTGGCCTCAACTCCTGGGCCCCCAGGGCTGGGATTACAGGCGTGTACCACCACGCCCCGCTGAGTTATGTTGTTTGTATACGGAACATAACAGCAACAATGAAAACAAAAGGACTTCATTTATAATAGTAAAAATGTAAAATTTTAAAAAGTAAACTGAAGCCCCGCCTCGTGGTGCACACCCTTAATTCCAGCACTCTGGAGGCTGAGGCAGGAGTATTGCAGCGAGGTCAAGCCCAGCCTGGGCTACAAAGTGAATTGAAAACCAGCCTGAACTGCATCGCAAAACCCTGTTTCAAAAAAAAAAATTTTTTTTTAAATTCAACTGAAGACTTCCACAGAAAAAATTTCATTGAATATAAAAATTAAATGAGCAAAATTAAATGAGGTTATATAATTGGAAAGATGTTAATTCCTCAAATTAAAATTTCGAGGTAATTCTAATGAAAATCCAAATAGGTTTTTGTCATGAACTTGCCTTGCTGATTTTAAAATAAATTCATACAGAAGAAGAAAACACAACAATTGTTGACTGAATTTTGAAAACTGATGAAGGATGTTAAACTAAATTTGGTTGAGGGTACCTTAGCACTGAAACTATAACCTAACAGAGGGGAAACAAAGTGAAAAAGCCTTCGAGCCGGGCGTGGTGGCACGTGCACACCTGTAATCCCAGAACTCGGAAGGCTGAGGAAGGAGGATCTTTGCGAGTTCGAAGCCAGCCTGGGCTACAAAGTAAGTTCAAGACCAGCCTGAACTGCATAGTGAGACCGTCTCAAAAAGACCAAAAAAAAGCCTTAACTTAGGAACAGACTGCACTGTTTTTTATCATTTTTTTAATGGAAAAAAGGTAAAACAAAATTTCATAATAAAAGAATAGAATAATAATAGTTAATACATTGCATATTGTTATCTTTAAAGTAGTTACTCAGAGTGTAAGACATGGGCAATAACATGTTATTGTGACAGATAACTGAGTCTTAGTTGTACCGGCTGAGCTCAGTCAATGACATGCAGCCAACTGAATGACATAAGGCAAAATGTGAGCGAGCAACAAGCTGCACGTACTTCACTTCAGTGCGATGTTCACAGACGCTGCCTGAGGACGCTGCTAGAGTTCTCAGGACCTACTCCGATAAGGAGAGGCACAGCTGAGTTGTGGAGGACTAAGCCAGCACGTGGTTTGACCCCAGTCCCCCTAAATGTAGATCACCTTTTCTGGATCTAAGGCTGTCCCACTGAAGTATTGCTTTTTTGCTCAGTTAAACTCTTAAATTTGTCTAAGGTCTCTTTTTTTGTGTGGTGTTAGAGGTTGGATCTATAACAGGGCCCTTTGCACTGATCTACATCTCCAGCTATTTTAAAAAGTGTTTAATTTTGAGACAATCATGTCTCTTCACAGTAGACACTGTAGGGTTTATTTAATATTTTTTTCTTCCTTTTTCCTTCTTTTACTTGGCCCAAACTCATTCTTAGAGAGCCTGGTTGTTCCTTCCTTCATTTGTTTTTTTTTTTTTTTTTTCCTTTTTGAGACAGGGTCTGGCTATGCAATTCAGGCTGGCCTTGAGCTCACTTTGTAGCCCAGGCTGGCCTCAAACTCACAACGATCCTCCTGCCTCGGCGCATGTGCCACCATGCCTGGCTCATTTTGGTTTCTTGAGACAGGGTCTGTGGGGAGTGGCTGAAGCTGAAGCTGGAGATGATCACACATGTGGAGCTAAGACAAAGCCCCAGAGAACAGGGAGAGCTCTGAGGGAGCCACTTAAACAGACTGTCCCAGCTCCCAAACAGGTTGCTAAGCAGAGAGGTTGAAATTGACATCAACTTCCTGAGTGTATAAGTAAGTAAACTCTGCAGTCCCTGGCCAGTTCCTCTCCTCTTATCCTGAAAGGTCTCCACCTGACGTCAGCTTTTTGTCTCTTTATTTCTAAATCCTTTAGCAGTGCCTGGGTCCCCACCCTAACCCCACCCTACCCTCCTCCCCTGCCCTGGGAACACAGCTGCACAGGTGCTGCAGCAAGGGTCTTGCTATGTAGTTCAGGCTGGCTTTGAACTCATTATGTAACCCAGGATGGCCTCAAACGCTTGGCAATCCTCCTGCCTCAGCCTCCCAAATGTTGGGAGGACCTCCAAATTATATACGGGAAATAAATGTAACTCCCAACCTGCTAGATGTCCCATATGCCGAGTTTGTGTTCTCTGAAGTCAAAGAATGAGTTCTAAGCAACAACAGAGGTTACCAGTAGAAAAATTTAAGGGCGGAAAAGGAATGGGGAATAGCAATGGGGCTAGGAATAGCTCTTGAGTGACAGGAGGAGTGCTGAATGGGTTGCCAGCAAGCCCACCTCTCAAAGGAAGTTTTAGGCCGGTATGGTGGCTGTAATCCCAGCACTCGGGAGGTTGAGGCAGGAGGATCGTGGGGAGGCCAGCCTGAACTGCATAGTGAAACCGTGTCTCAGAAAGACAAAATAAAAGGAAGTTTTATAAAGCAAAATCATGAGGTGAGTACAACACAGGTCAAAACTGATCAACCAATAAAATTACAAATATAGTCGTTTAGGTAATGAGGTAATGTTCATCTAATAGGGAAGCAGGTCACTTAGCAAGTGTACATAGATGGCATCATTAACCTTGACTGATAATCTGAAGTCTCTGTTTTAGTGGGTGGGAGAGGAGGGCCCACCCCTAATGAGACAGGGGAAATCTGGTACCAAGAATCTCAGATCTCCATTTATCCCTTAGGGAAGTATGTAAATCTGGCCACTGTGACTTTATCTTCTCCGGATAGGCCTCCAGCCAGAGTTTTAATGTGTGCTCATCTTCTGCACTGCCTCCCTCGAGGGCCCAGCCCTGTCTGACTGCTGGGTAAACCACACCCAGCTATGGACATTCTTTTTCAGAGACTTACATGTTATATTTTCTACATATTAACATGTGAAATGACAGTGCTTTTCTAAAAGTATAGTTTGGGTTATTCACACTATGGTGGTATAATCAACAAAATCCAGACAGGAAAACACTGCAAGATGAAAGATCTAGATTTCTTTAAAAAAATGCTAAGGTTTTGTTTTTTTAAGCAACTTTGAGTTGTAAGATAAAGTATCAGAATGACTCTAGAACTTGCCTCAAAATAACAGAGCATGAAAACAGTAATTGGGAGTATGCAGTGAAGGGAGGTAGACGGGCCTGGATGAGACAAGATTATAAATTCATAAAAACTTCCATAAATTAAACCTGGGTGTGAGGTGGACACCTGTAATCCAGCACTTAGGAGGCTGAGGCAGGAGATTTTCTGAGAGTTGCATGCCAGCCTGGGTTACATAGTGAGTTCAAAGCCAGCCTGGACTACATAGTGAGATCCTGTCTCAAAACACAAGCAGGAGGTATGGTGGTCCCTCCCTGTAATCCCAGCACTTGGAGGAGGAGGCAGGAGGATCACAAGAGAGACCATGTCTCAAAATAAATGTGAAAATCCAGGCTAGGGATGTAGTTCAGTGCTCCCTAGGTTCAACCCTCAAGACCAAAAACAAACAAAAACACTTTTAAACTGTAGTATCACTAACTGTAGAATTTAAAGAAGAAAACATCACATAATCAAAACTCAGTAAATTCTGAATGGAGTTTCAAATTAAATGTGAGGGACAAAAAAGTAAATAATGGAGTTGGAACATTTGTTTCTCTTTCTTTCTTTCTTTCTTTCTTTCTTTCTTTCTTTCTTTCTTTCTTTCTTTCTTCCTTTCTTTCTTTCTTTCTTTCTCTCTTTCTTTCTCTCTTTCTTTCTTTCTGAGACAAAGTCTCGCTATGTAGTTCAGGCTGGCCTGGATTCGCTATGTAGTAGTCCAGGCTGGTCTCAACCCCTCAGGGATCCTCCTACCTCAGAATCCCAAGTGCTGAAATTACAGATGTGGGCCACCATGCCCAGCCTTTTTTGTTTGTTTGTTTTTTTGTTTGTTTGAGACAGGATCTCACTATGTAGTTCAGGCTGGCCTGGAACTCATGGCAGTTCTCCTGCCTCAGCCTCCTGAATGCTGAGATTATGGGCATGTGCCACCTCACCCAGCCCATTTATTTTTCATTTGGAGAAAATATATGAGATTTTTATCCCACGTGATTTAAAAAAAATCAGGTGGATTAAAACTTTGAAGGTATTTTTTAAATCAAATATTTTAAAGCTTTTAAAAGAAGTATTTATGACTTTGGAGTTTCATATACACATGAAACACTCTACCATTGAGACCCAGAAATTTTTAAGACATAAGGGAAAGACTGACCAAAGCAAAAATTAAAAATTTTGTTTAACAAAAGAAAAGTAACCAAGCGAACAAAAACAATAAGGGATGAAATATTTGCAATACAGAGCAAAGAATTAGAACCCAAATTACAAATAAACAAAATCTGGGAATCAGTGGGAAAGGACAAAAGTACAACTTTAAAAAGTGAGGGAGGCTGGCAATTTATAGGACAAAGAACAAAACTGATCATCAAACACATGAAAAAGAGCCAGATTTGGTGGTGCACACCTATAATCCCAGCATTCAGGAGGCTGAGGCAGGAGGACCACTGCAAGTTTGAGGCCAGCCTCGGCTACATAGTGAGTTCAAGTCTAGCCTGGAATACACAAAACCAAAAAATAAATAAAACCCCCAAACCAAATAAAAACCAAAAAATAAAAAATAAAATAAAATAAATAATTACCCACATGAAAAGGTGCTCAGCATTGCTATAATAAGGACAATTAAAACCCTTCAGACCAACCAAAATTAAAAGCTTGATGTTGGCATGTAGCCCAGTGGTTGAACATGTGCTTAGTATGCATAAGGCTCTGTGTTCCATTCCCAGCATCACCAAAAAAATAAAAAAGTTTGATGCTATTGAAAATCTGTCACCAGCCAGGCGTGGTGGCACATGCCTGCAATCCCAGGACTCAGGAGGCTGAGGCAGGAGGATCGTTGTGAGTTCGAGGCCAGCCTGGGCTACAAACTGTCAAGGTCGGCCTGAACTGCACAATGAGACACTGTCTCAAAAAGACAAAAAAAAAGTTGTCATCAGTTACTGTGGTACTCACCTATAGTCCCAGGAGGCTAAGGCTGGAAATACATTTGGGCC